ATCTTAAGAATCACAGCCTCACATGACTGGTGTGCAGCTAAATATAGAACTTATTAGAGTTCCTTTGAGCTACTAATTTTGTTAGCCTATTGAAAAAATTACTATTACTACCATCAGGTTTCTCTGGCACAATTCCTTATAAACTTTAGCTGACTGATCATAATTTCCTTATCTTTTTGCTACTGAACTTTTTCTTTTCTAATAATTTGTAGCTTTGTTAAACATTACTATAAGATTTCTGTTTATTATCTAGTTATTACTGATATTTTTCTAAGTTGCATGCTGGGTGATAGAATATTGGCTTCAGGCTCTGAAGTTAATTCTCAGGGTTTGAATCCCAGGCTTACTTTGCTCTATGACCTTAGACAAATTATTTAACCTCTGTGAACTTTGGTTTCCTACTTAGTAAAAGAGAGGTAATAATGGGAACCTAATACTGTTGTGATGATTTAATGTGTGTACTCTAACATATATAAATATATATGTACATTGATACCAGTTCTTGGCACCTATTAAGCCCTGGATAAATGTTGGCTTTATTATTGTAGTCTATAAAGTATAGAAATAGCAAGAGAAAACTGAATAAAGAACACCATTAATAAATCTGCTATAATTTATAAAGGTATAGAGGGCTTACGTAGATGCCAGAGAGCCCCAGAATAATATGTTGGTCTAAATACATTTAGGTCATCCATTGAATTAGTTATTTACTTAGGAGCTCTCATTTATTTTTTGGATCCTCAAACCCACCAGCCATTCCTGGGAAGGAAGGTTGGGCAATCTACTTCCATAGTGATGCCTCGGAAACCCAAGGAGGGTTGCTATGAGTCAGGTCCGACTCGACAGCAGTGAGTTTGGTTTTTCTTTTTCCTTTTACAAATGCTCCTTATTCTAGGTTTGTCTTTTTCTTTCCAAGGTCTAGGAAACTGAGAACTAAAATCATGGACCTAATTACATATAAATATATTTATATCTCCTTGATTGTTTTGTATCCTCAGTCTTAGGTAAGGTGATGGTGGGGATCAAGGCAGATTAAAATGTGAACTCTTACTTTCAGTGCCTTATGGCTTGAATGGGGTTGATGGAATCAGAGATCACTTAGTCTGACCTACCTTCTAGGCCTCCACAAAGAAGCCTTCCCTCGTTTCACATGAGGTCACACACTCAAGGAATAGGCTCCCTTGGCATTCTGTACTTTATAATAAAGTAATTGTCTAATTCTTTCTGTTTTGTGTCTTTCTCTTCCTACTAGATAATGTGCTCCACAATGCCAGAGGCTGCCTTTTTCTTTTCTGATTTTTCTAGTTCTTAGCATTAGTTCCGGCCCATAAACCCAAAAACCCAAACTCATTGCCATCCAATCGATTCCAACTCCCAGCTACCTACAGAACAGAATGGAACTGCCCCATCGGCTTTCCAAGGCTGCCATTTTGACTGCCACATATTTCTCCCATGAAGCAGTTGGAGGCTTGCAACCACCACCATTTCAGTTAGCAGCCAAGTGCTTTACACTACCAGGGCTCCTTAGTTCCTACCCGTGGGTGTGTGGTAAATATTTGGTGGATGCATAAATGAGCTCTCATTTTAGAGATGAAGTTGCTGGGATGCGTATCTTAGGTGACTTATCCTAGGTCCCACATTTTCTAAAACAGTTATAATTGTTGTTGTTGTTAAGTGCCGTCGAGTCATTTCCGACTCATAGCGACCCCATGCACAGCAGAACGAAACATTGCCCGATCCTGCGCCAGCCCCACAATCCCTGCTATACTTGATCCCATCATTGCCACCACCATGTCAATCCATCTCGTTGAAGGCCTCCCCCTCCTTCGTCGACCCTCCACCCTACCAAGCATGACATCCTTCTCCAGGGAATGGTCCCTTCT